TATGAGAAACACCAAGTTTGGCTGCCAATTCGCGAGCACTTGACGACGGTTCGTCTTCCAAAGCAACAATCAAATCCTAGCTGTTCAACTTTATTTGACAATCTAAACAAGGGTTGTCTTTAAGGTCAACATCTCCGGCATTAAAGCTTTGAAAGCAACGTCCAGCAGCAGATGCGCTTGTTGTGCCTTCCCCTTCAAATTCGTTGATTTCAGCAACTGCAGGTGAGAGACCCTTTCTCCAATAATGACGCAATAAAGCACAAACTTCGATCGCATCGTTAGACATATCGGGTGTCTGTAACAAAGTGAAAATAAAGGCAAATAATATCTAAACCTTCACGGGGAGAAACCCACATAGGATGCTGTACTATTTCCGTGATATTTATGGGATTTATCTTATGCTTGTTAAGGTGCTCCAGAACTTTCTTTCCAATCATAGTATCAAGCAAAGAACACCTCAACTCGTATCCCAGGAATCTCATGCCAGATTAGTGCTCCTATTTTGTTTCTGCCATATACAAAAACGCAGATTCGTATAGAGACCTTACATCGAATGAATTATGCCTTTAATGCATTGTGACAGGTAAAGAGTGAAGGCCCGCGTCAGCGTGTTTACAAGGGTCAGAAGAAGGTCCGAGACTTGGAGGAAAAGTCGCTGGGAAATGCATCTTGTTGTATCTTACGATAAATCAATAACTTAATTAGTGCACATGATGTGGCGAATTTTGGTCGGTAAGAGTTTCATTTTACACTTTGAAAAGGCAAGATAAAAGCTTTTCTCGAGCGAATTTCACTAAATGGAGCTTTAACTGGCGACTAACTGTTTGTTCAGTTCTAGTCGTTATATGAGTAACGGCTATTATGTGGTATTTGCAAATATAAAATTATTCAAATAGGCTCAATGTAATATTCTAATCACTTTGAATTGCTGACAGCAGTATGCTCAGATGATAAACTATGGTAACAAGAAGCAATTAGTAGTCCACCACCCGACCATACTCTTAGGATGATAGAACATACTCCTTACTTTGATCCATCATGTTCACAGTCCTTTATTTGTCAGGAACTGTTGGATTTCTGTCAAGGTACCAATTCAACGAATAGATTTCGGAGATGTCGCGAATAGCTATCGTTTTAACATTTCGGCGCCTTCGCCTTCTACGCACTCGTGTCCGGTCAAGGCAGATTGCGAATCTCTGTAATACGTTATCCACTAAGGTTTCAAATCATTGAACGATGTTCGACTTCAGTGGTATAGACTCGATGTTAGTATGTAAACCGACTGTTTTTTGTGATGGGAGAATCAGTGAAGCTTAATTCATTAGAACGATGTTCCACTTTACTCGATTTGACTTGATGAGAATACGAAAACTCACATTGAAGGAATTAGCGCTTGTGGAGAATCTACCTAAGTCATTCCAGATCCAAAAAGGGCGTAATCTCTAGAGCGTTAGCTATTATGAAGATTTCGTACCATCATCAGCAAACGTTATAAATAGAGCAAAATTTTCTAGATAGCATAACTTGTACAATATCTTGAGCGATTTTTTGCCTTCATATTTCTGAATTGCTAGTATAATTATGATAATGTGTGTATCAATCCTGATGAAATCAAAAGATCTCCTCCAGTTTGCTTAACTGGGTGTGGCAAATATCTGAAACAGAAGTGTGAGACACTATTGCCTGAGAATGTTCACTGAGGTTTGTTCTATCGTTAAAATGGTGAAGGAGGTCGAAATTCATTTTTGACAAAATTAAAAATGTCACTAAAAATAAGTCGAAAGTCAATCCACTGGTGGAGATAAGAATTATAACAGAAAAACAGCGATAAAATTGTTTCATAGTCTTGAATAAAGCAGAATCTCGTCGTTGTAAAATTTCAAGAACAACGTTTTTATCAATAAAGATACTTGAATTTAATGGCTTTTGGTTCAACTCATTTATTTTTCTTCAAACTAAGATGGGAATGTTGGAAGATCTAAGCGTACAAATACAGTCGTGCATGACTCATCTTGTCATTAACATTCCAGGAACGTATAAACTGTATGAGCAATGGGACAAAAGCCTGTTTATGGTAAATTATAGGTTGTAGAAAAGTTCTGTCGTATTGCCTGAAAAAATGAATTTACGTAAGTGTTTTGTGGGAAGTTGAGCTCTTCAGAAAGCTCCTTTTCTTGCGCCTCAAACGTCACTCATTTGACTACATAACTTTCAGAATGGAATTGTTCAGGGAAGAAATTCGTCTGCCGCTCCATTTCCATTACAGATTGGGTGCCAACGCTTCTGGGGATGATTGACAGTCGCGTAATCGACATGCTGTCGAATATTTGGCTAATGCCTTGATATGGAAGGAGAATACTTTGGCTACTGATTTACTTTTGTCTGAGATCAATTGTTGCACAAATAAATTTATTTTGTGGATTTCGAAAACACGACAGAACTTTCTCTACAAAACATTAGTCAGCGGATGTGAACAACTGGGATTTGGTTCCACTCGATTGTTTTGACGTTGTCAATGTTTTCCAAGATGAAACATGCTACCCTTCACACACACACATATGAAATTCGTCATTTCTTCTGTATACTACACGGCGATCGAACAAACGACCGCTTGTGTATTGCTAGTACCTATGATCATTGCGCTACGCCCAACATATTTACTCACATTGTTGCTTTCTAGATGCTTTTTGTTCCTGCCATTATTCTATTTTCTATTTTATCTCATTAAAACTGAGTCTGTTAAAGGATTACTATAAAGGACGAAATTTGAGGTATTTCTTGAGAAGTTTCCTCAAAACTCTTTAGCAATAGATATGAAATTCCGTACGCACTATGAAACTTTTACAATCAATCCATGCATTTGTTCTTCGTTATCTACCGACAATTAGTCGGCGCCTTGATCTTTGTCAGCAAGTTGCGTGTTAGTTAAAGTTACATGGATACAAAAGTTGAGTAATTTAGCACAGAGGTGATTGAGTGCTATTGCGGCGAGATATCTAAACTAGGATGTCAAATATCTATCTTTGAAAGGTTTATACCCTTGATGCTCGTTCATTCAGGAGCATTTCGTTTTTGATAAATCATTTATGCTTTCTTTGCACCGTAATCTTCTTTTGAACTCGCCAAGGTCTCTTCCTCTTTCTTTCGCGTTTCCTCACCGAATGTCACGCTCTATGCTATTACAACGTTATTGCAGCCGGAAGCGCAATGATAGAGATATCGTTCACTAATATATATGGCTCTTGTTTTTCCCAGGCCAACAACGCTTCACTAGCTTCCGGATCGCGAACTTCGTAACAAAGCAGGCTTTAAATAGGAGAAAGTTCATCCAATTCAACGACTCCAGGAGCTACCTTTGCTTAAGATCTGGGAATAGCCTAGCCATGGCAGTTTCAAAGTTTCAGATTGAATCTTTTTGACCGAAATTTAACGACATTGTGGAAGGAGAATACTTAGCGGCATCCACGCTGACGGTAATTTTTCTTGCTAGAGTTCACTTCTATGATATGCCTTTCAGCAGCAAACTTTCATGATGATTGATACGAGACATCCCGACAATTGGATGTGGATCTAAACATTATGTGATATAGGATCCTGTGATATATAAATAATTAAGTAAACAAATATAAATTGATGCCGGCTCGAATTTCAATTCTATTGTTATAATGATTGTTTAATTTCACGTAGTGTTGCGTTGTTGAAGAAATGATTTTAATTCGCTCGCCTACTTCTTACTTCCAAGGTCAGTCAGTAGTAACATCAATGTTTATGATTTCTAGTGAAATTTCTAATCTCTATTTCAATACTGAGTTTAAAGAATTCAAGAAACGTGTGACGATCCGATTTGATAGTTATCACCGTTGTAATAGATAGCATGATAGCGATTGAACCCAGTATGCGGAACAGTGGGGACAGGTCTTTGGCAAATCAGTGTGATACATGTGTGACATTAATCTATCTTACGTCTGTATCCGAAGAAGAAGTCGGTTCAAAGTGAAGTGTCGTTAGCATGTATGCTACGATCAAAGCAAACAACGAGCGATCAACAAGTGACCTTGACCGCATATGGTATGAGAAACAAAACAGAAAACCGCGTAACGAGAACTTTAGCTGAAGATCTATGCCAAGATTGTGGCTCCAAACACACAGTATCCCGCAGAAATTTTTTCGAGACTACCTGTATCAAAAGATACCGTTGTTGTCTTTTCACAGATTTAAGACGATAAGAACTGCTAAATGGCGAGCAGTTTATTTTAAAAAACAATAGTAGGTCTGAAAAATGATGTCACCTGAATCTGTGGAACATCAAAGAGTCTGATAAGTTGTCTTTGGTAATTAATAATCACAGCCTGTTATTCAAATTCCACGTTTAAAGGAGACGTTGTTATCAGCCCTCCTACTCTTATGCTAGTAAGTAATAATTTCTATTCCCCGTCAAGTGATTTTTCACTAATAAACAATAAAAGAATAAAATGCATCCGCTCAACTCAATCAGATTGGAGCGCGTATTGCGCAATGGTCAAGGAGCTCCGTACAAATAGTCATTAATTCATATTCAAATTCCGCATTTAGCAGTTCCTCTATGCCTCAATAATCGGCAAACTCACTGGAAACTCTTCAGCTGAGATGTAAAAATTAGTTTTATCGGTCTGCAGGACACCGTCTGTCAACGTATGGTGCAGGTGTGCATTTAGTGGCCTCTATGATGCTAGCGATATATCGGATGTATAGTGTCATCCACTAGCGATAGTCCAATACCGAACGGCTCATGCTTATGCCTTAGCTACAAAACTCTGAGAAAGGCTTTCCAGAAAAGGAAAAGATTTTTGGCGTATGCTTATAATCTTAGTAAAGTTCCAAAGTTGTAGTGTGGCCAGTTTAGAACAGTAATTCGTACTCCATTCAATCGTACAGTGAGTGGGTTGTGACCAAAATCGAGGAAATGGAATTGATTTCACAGCAAAGCAGAAATTGCCTTAGAAAGAGTGGAGGCAGAACAGGCGTCGGTAGAGCAACGGGTTAGAGCACGTAGCCTTAAATAGGGTGAAATGCGGGTTCGAGTCCCAGCTGACGCAGAAGTTCTGCACATCACTCCACAACATTGGATATATCTACAGCACAATATTTGAAAATAGACTGCTGTGAATTCAACAGGCATCAATCTCTGACCTAGGACATTGATGACATGAAAAGTGCTAATCAATCCGTTGTCGTTTAGCGGCATTTGTGAAAAGTGATTTTATCTGTTTTTCGTGCGAGTTATAAGTAAATAAGAATGAAAGACGTATGCGTTTCCCGGCGAAAACCTTGAGAAAGAAACATAATAAATGAGTGAGATTAGTCATGGGTGAAACTGGTTCTAGCACACTATTATACTCGCCTGGCACATGGTCACCATCGGTCATATCACGATAGCAGTTGAGAGACTCATAAAAGAATGCCGTTTGTAACAATGAACCTTACAATGAAATCCAAGATTATGCTAGTTGATAGAATTAGAAGAAAAAGAAAGAGCAGACGCAGTTTGAATTCAAAAAAGAACACTTCTCAGGGCTGACATTAGCTAGTCTATCTAGAAGAAGCAGCGTTTTCCTGGCTTGTTGTCATGACAAAAGGCAAAATATATTGGAGATTTTTTTGAATAGTGAGGGACATGAAAACTCCAAGCATTATTTATCATTAAAAAACTTATGCTATAAAATTAGAAAGAGATACGACTAGATCGACCATGTAAATTGATCTATACTATGGTCAGCGTGGACTAAATTCCTAAGCGTTACCATATTCAATTTTCGGTTCTTGTGTGCAAGGAAGAGTATAGTGAGGCGGACTATAATTCACAAATACTTGTTTCTCGAGGAAAAAGTTGAGCTCTTCAGATATGGACAGAGGTTTAAGTCTCTGCTATCGACGTATCTATCATAGAGCAACGTGCACTGGATACTAGTGGCGTAAGTGGTACAGTCGCATATGATTGGGTATTTTCTTTATCCCACACATATTGCAGATTTCGGCGTTTACATCTTCCGTATGTGGTCGGTTGATTTTCTTTCCTATTTCTGCTTTTGGTTTCGGCCTAACATCATCTCTGAATCATCAAGTAGGAGGCCCGGCAAAGCGTCCATCTCGGAAATCCATTCTTTGAAAACGATCGTAAAGGCCTGAAAACGCCCTTGCAACATTACGTAAAGAAACCAAGAAATATCATATGCACAACCAGCAATATACCATTTGGACTATGCGCTGGGGTCCGCACAACTAGTGAAAACGGACCATTTAAGTATTTAAGTAAGTAAGCAAGTGCACATATTGCAACAACATTATTAGTGCATTGTTGCAGTTTGATAAATTAAATCTATCTTCACTTTTCACAAGCATATTGTTGAGATTTACCGTCCATTTTATTCCGCTTTTGTCTAGTCGAACTTAAAATAGTATTAAATCACCAGAGAACAAAGCTGAAATTTGATTCCTGTGCTAGTATGATTTGAGTTCATAGATGCTTCTAGAGTCTAACATCGTTAAGGCTGATAGCAGTGGAGTTAAAAAATCTTATTTCCAGTCTCTTGGAGAGAACTGATTCATGTGCAAGCAATTTCCTCGGCAGCACTCTCATCTTTTAATCTACGTGAGAACGCTTCAACTATGCTATCCTCGAAACTGCTAGGAAAAGGCAAGTCGATCGATTCTACGACATTCGCAAAGAATACGAAATTCTCAAGCAGATCTCGAAGCAGCAAGTGAAATGCTTGTGACCCTTCGTAGAGGGATTGAGCGGGAAGGAATCGAACACTAGAAGTGTTGAGGGGATCCGCACAGCAAAATGTGATCAGAAGTCATCTAGGATAAAAAAATAGTAAACTATTAGTGCAAGACAATTTTCAATGTTATTTTTCTCAACTAGTTCACTTTAGTTTCACTGATTACCTATTATCAATTAGATACTATTAACGGGATAGCGGAGTGGTTGGTGATGCGGTTTATCAGAAAGCAAGTTGATGAGCAAGGCGCTGATTCAATCTTCTCCCCTAGCACTCTTTTGCAATAATTCAGCAAACGCCTTAAGGAAGCCTTAGCTCAATTGCCTCTAAGATTGAAAGATCAACAGCCTCCACCAGCATTCTATAACATTCATAAAAAAGATGAATTCTTGAAAAGCACCCGAAACAACACACAGGATGTTTGGAAACCTTCAATATTGGATGAATGCGAAGGAACAGCATAATGCTAGGGCTCGCGTAATAATGACCGGTCGTATAAAATGAATTAACAAAATAAAAAAAACACCTTTTCATGGCAATTACCAGGCACAATTCAAGGTATGCGAATGGGTTCGAATAAAAATCGAGTCTCTTTGATTACCTCCTACAGTAGTTCATATGCTCAGAGTATTTCCAAAATGGGTCACATTTTCTTGAGATTTGTCACAGTGCTGGAGGTAGTGCGATGACCACCGTTGCCTAATAATCTCAAATACCGTCTATCTTTCATATATCGAGATATTTCTTTGATAGATGGCTTTACGCTAGTGTGTTTGACTTGCAAGATGTGTTTCGTCGTAATCTCGATAGCTTACGGTGTTAACAGCTCACCTCTATCGGGTGCGCCGTAGTTGTCCGCTATCCGGTTTATGCGTCAAGTTGTCCATTTATCTATCTCTGTTTCGCAATAGCCGATTTTTCTCCGATAAAAAATATCAGAACGCTTATGATCTCATTTAGTACGATCTCATTCAGTAGATCTCATCCATTCCATCCATAGACATTAATAGGCTGCAAGCTTTCAATGACTTCCTCCTTCACCGCGCTCTTTCGTGCGACTGTGATTGGCCCATGTGATTAGTGCAGTAAAATCTTTGTTGGTTTACCTCAAACTCTTGAGAAAAGATTTCGAAGTTAATTGTGTTGTATGGGAATTTAGCACTAACAGAAATGTTTGCAGAATCTACTCATCCACAAGCAGCCTTCAGTTAACTTGCTCATATTGTGGTCGTTATATGAAAGAATTTCTCTAAAACAACATAAGAACTGCAAGTGATACTATTTAAAAGCGACTATCGATTGAGACCGACACTAAGCGAATAATTTCGAACTTTTTGAACAGCCAATACAAGGTTTTTAATAATACGATCTATGCGGTAGAGTAAAGTGCAATATTAGTGGCATACGTTTCGGCGAGTTCGCTTTCTTTCGAGTTTCGAGGAGTCGGGTTTACTCCTCCAAACATTTTCATAACTCGAAGAGGTAAAACTTAGCACGAGTAATCGCATAGTAAGCAGTTTGTGCCTCTTCCAGAAAATGAGGAAGACGGAATCGTCGAAACGAAGATCACTACGACTGATACTTCATCATTTTAAGACAGAAAAATGCTAGTACTTTTTTATTGGGGAAAATATAGCTGTGCTAAAATATCGTCGATGATCATTTAGATTGATGGGTTGTTATTTCGATGTGAAAATGATGCTTTTGGCAAAAACATCGGTCGACGACCTTTTCTAGAGTTGAATGATGGAATAGATCTATTTGTGCTTGTATCTGGCACATTCACACTTCTCACAGACAATGATAAAATCGCTTCATTCCTCGATCATTTCTGTCGGTCGGGGCGAACTTGATGGCGATGGCGATGATGATGGCGATGACGGCGGCATTGTCGGTAGGGCGGTGGAGGCGGCGGCACCGCCGGTAGAGGTAGGCGGTGTCGCTTAAGACTGTAGTAGCTAACACCATTCTTACACCAACACATAACCCTATCTTGCTCACTCTCTCATTCAGAAAGTATATTTGCAGCCACCGAAAACAAAAATATAAACGAGTAGCTAAAAGTAAAAGTCACCTTGGAATGTACCATTTCACTAGTTCATTCTTGTTTGCGCTCTATAATTCACTTTTAATAGTGTTGAACTCCATGCCAGGAACTGTTATATACATTAATCATCTTCCAAAAAGATTTTTCTAGTTATCAGTGCAAGAGTGTAAAGAAAATAGCCTAATTTTTATCTTCCTCAACATTTTTGTCTTCGCGTAAATTTCCATGGCTCTTACCAGGAACCGCGCACGTTCTATGACTTGTTCACTCATAATTTTTTTCACATTCACCTCGATTTCTCATTGAGAAAGATTATCATTCGCCAGTTAACACTTTGAACACGAATTCTTTCTCATCAAAAGATTACACCGAAGAATTTACACATCAGAAAAACTACACTAATCGCATTTCGTCGAGCTGTTGCCTCTCTGAGAATTGAAGAAACAAATGTCCAGGCTGTCCATGTTTAATTGAAAACATGCAAAACTTGAACGGTCGCTGCTATGAGGCTCTACTAAAGTAGTGCACAGCTCAAAACTATGAAATTATTTCTGTCGCTGGCCTGCTTGTGATTTTTTTACCTAGATCCTATTTCAGCTGTCGATACTATTGCATATGTTGATATTAAAGCTTTGTATTCTTTTACATCGTTTTGAAGTACTCTTACTACTTTATAGAGCTTTCCGAATATACTCTCCCGCTGTGCAGAACATTGCAACCATGATTTTGAAATTTCCTAGTAGTGTTTTATAAAGAGGGGCTAACACTTTGTAATCGATGGATCTTCTTTCTGACTGTCTTCGGTTATTACAGTATTCTCTTAGTAGCTTACTGTGAATAACGATTCGACAATTTCATCTCAAAAGTAAGCATTAGAAAACAGGCTTGGATTTTCATTTGAACTATCACTTTCTCCTTCTCAGTTCTTCCCCTATATCTCTCCTTCAGTCTCTCTCTCTCTCTCTCTCTCTCTCTCTCTCTCTTTTTCTCATCAAAACTCACATACTTATTGCATAAGAAAAAACAGTTATAGTAAGAGTTATTTCCTAGCTAACTAAAAAAGCGCTGACTGATTTCAGCACTTGAATGCGAACACTATCGTATTGTTATTGGTGTTGATGCTGATTTCAAGGTTTATTCTTAACCTTTTCTTAGAGCAATTGGGTAGCGTTCTACCTGCTGGCCTTCGCCATCCGTATCTTGCCGTTAGTCCTGGCCCATTGGTTCTGGTCGTCCAATTCGACGTCCTATGTGGACACGGATCTTA